TTGGCGACCATACGTACGTAACTAGTATCGAGCGTATTTGTGTCCTTGATTCTGCAGCACCAGGAGCTTGTGCTGCTTGACGCCAAGTATCAAGTTTGCCAGCTTTGTATCCACTTTGCGAGGTTGCACAGGATTGTTGGCAACGACCAATCAAGCGTGTGCGGATTGTGGGCTGGACCAATCAAAGCATTTCAAGAACTGCCTTGCGCAACATGCGCGCCGCCTGCCTCGCCTTACTCTCGGTGGTCGCAGCGCTGCACAAGCGGACGCCGCAGCACATGATGCACGTCCAGCAGCAATACAAGGTCTGCTCGGTAGACGCCGACTGCGGCACCGGGTACACCTGCGCGCCTGCCGACGCGGGTGCCATCTTCAACCTCTGCCAGCGCACGACCGCGACCGAGGTCGCCATAGTGTCGGCCCCGCGCAACACCACCAGCGCGGCCAACGTAGCACGCGCCGCGCCATGGCTCGTACTTCCAAACGTTCGTGTCACGGGAAAGACCATAAAGTCAGTACCCAATGTGACGCTGCTCGACGAGTGCACGAAGCTCTGTGCTGCAGAACCCAAGTGTTATGCCGTCGCCTTCAACACCTCGTCGTGGCCCGCCAGCACGTGCGAGCTAAAGCCGTCGCCGCTGACGTTGTCGACCAGCGCCACCAGCTTTCTCTCTGCGACCAGTTACCCCGCGAGCTACACGTGCACCGCCGGCGCCACCTATGGTGGACGCGACGCCTTCAATGCGTCGGGCAGCTTGCAAGACTGCTTCAATATGTGCAGCTCCAAAGCATCAACGTGCAGCGGTTTCTCGTGGGCCCGAGACCCGACACCAGGCGCTGTGCTTGGGCGCTGCTCTATGAAAGAAATGTCGTCCGGATCCGAGGCCGTCTCGAGCAATGCAACGTGGGTGTCGTGCAAGCGAGCGACATGAGCCATGATCGAGCTACTTCAACAGTACTAATAACCAGTACTTGCCATCACGCCAAGTGTGTTTTGGGACGCAAGGAGCCGAAATGATCTTTTCGAGAACTAACCGCTTCCGGCCCCGGTTAAGCAAGGGGCGGTGATTCAGCCCATATGCCCTTTCCACCCCTGAGCACCTGCGCATCGAAAGCGCAGCTTTGAGTCCCGGCTGCTTCCCTTTAGTCAACCTACTCAAACTTATTTCTAGCCATGTCCGTGACCTGAACGTCGTACAACCACGTGTCGAGTGGCCTCAAGAGCTGCCGTGGAGCGTGCGCTGACAAACGTTAGCGATGACTGTCACAACGACACCGCGCAACGACTACGCTACATGTCAAGCGCACCCGTCGATTTGCACTCTTCTGTCGGAGTATCCAAGTACTGGAGCTCGCGTAGGATCTCGTGCGAGCTATGACTCGGCCGGTGGGATCCACCATAAAATGGATCCCTGTTCGCAGCGCACTCCCAAGATCTGGCGAGAACACCCACGCATATTCAGCCTGCCAGGCCATCATGAATAGTCCAATTGTTTGATGGATCTGGACTGGACAACGCCCAGAACATTCTATGCACATGCATTGGTCATAAGCCTGCGTTGGTCTTTACTCCTGGCGTTTCGAGAAGACCGTTGACGTGGGACGGTACACGTATTGGTACATATGCACGACCAGTACTTTGTACGTGGTTGACCTCTTTGCCACCCTCTCGCTTTTGTGCTCCGATAGTTGCTCGAGGCGCTAGCATATCTATCTTTTGATGCGTTAGTGGGACCACGTCCATCAAGCACGATACCGTCATGTGCTGCGATGCGCAGGGCGATGCCACGTCATCCCACAAGTAATCGACAACAACCAATTTTGATTGGTCAAAAAGCAGCCCATTTTCCAGCCAATTGTCGCGAGGTGCTAGTTTGCGATCCCACCGCCATGACGACGAGTCCGCCGCCTCCGCCGCTGCCGCTTATCTCACCCACCAACTCGTCCCACACGATATTCCGGGTCATCCACCCGATCATCGTCGCATCGGGCTTCATGGACTGGTACGCGGCCTACGTGGCGGCGTCGCTGCCCATGGCCCACAAGGACGAGCACATGGTTGCCAAGCTCCTCGAAGGGTGGTCCGCCATCACGTGGGGCCTCGGTGGCATGGTGCAGTACGAGCGCGAGCTTCCGCGCTTCCTCGCTTCCAAGGCCGCCGCGCCCTCCAGCGTTCTCAGCGTCATCACCAAGCCCAACCCGGCCAAGATCTTCCAAACGAGCACGCGCATCTACACGGCGTCGTTCGCAGGGCTCGTCGGTCTCACGGGGCACCACTGCTACTACGCTGGGAACGCCATGGCCCACGACCGCCCCGACCGCGCGACGGCGCATGTTGCGGCCGCCGCCAACACGATGAGCTACGCGTTCTTGTGGCAGTCGATTTTTCTGCAAAAGAGCCGCGTGCTCACGCCCGTGCACCTCTCGGCGATCGCCGTCATGGCGTACGTCTGGCTCAGCGACAGCGAGCGCCCAATCAAGTTTACGACCGACTATGCGCCCTTTGCGAAAACAGAGTCCGGCAGTCTCCACTAATAATCCCACGCGGTGAAGCAGTGAATTGAGCGGCGTCTCATCCAAAGCGAACGACGAGGTCGATGCTCGTCGTCGTGTACGAGGTAGTGGTTGGTGTTGCCCGAGGTAGAACCGACGTTGACTTCAGGAATGGCGCATCTCTCTCCGCACGCAGAAGCAACACCCACGCACGTCGGCCATAAGCGCCATGCGTGTCTTGTTGCCAACATGCTGCAACGTCCATCCCTTGGATGGAATGCAGGACTAAGAGTTATGAACAATATCAAAAAACGGTAAACTAGCTAGTCTTACTCGACAGACGCAAAGGTAATCGGGCGAATCCCTCGGCGGCGCGCAAGGACATAGCCCGCACTCGCGGCGAGCGCCACGATCAGAGGCCCAAGCAGCGCAATCCAGCGCGGCGCGGCGGCATGCAGCCACGCGTCTGTCGCCGTCGCATCGATCGGAAAGGGCGCAGCGACCACCACATACGTCATAAAGCCCACAGCGTACAGCGCAATAAAGAGCAACAGCCCATACGCGGGCCCTCGCGATGACGTGGCACGCTGCGAGAGCATGTAGACGCACTGCGCAACGTTGAGCAAGCCGGCAGCGGTTGAAAAATACGCCAAAACAAGGTACCGGCCGGGCATCGTGAGCGTCGCTTGGACCGTAAAATCGCACAATTTCCCGAAAAACGTCAAACCCAAGGCAAAATACGACTGGCCTTCGCACGTGTCGATGGTCCAGTTGACGTGCATTTGCAAAAAGCCTTCGCAGCTCCAAAAGGCAATCGCGAGCCAAATCCCGCCATCGAGCAGCAACGCGATCGGCAAGACATGGAGGTAGCTCAAAGCGCCCAGCGTCATCACGACCACGTAGAGACTGATCGCGCTTCGCCACATGAGCTGGGTAAACGTTACATCGCCGTGGCGATTGGCGTCGAGCAGCGGCGGCAAGAGCGAGGCGCCGGGCTTTGTCCGGTCGAAGGCCCGGAAACGATACAGTTGATGCAGCACGAGGCACTCGAGCAGCGGCATGGCCACGCCGACCGCGCGGACAAAGAGCGGGAGGCGCCAGTAAAAGACTGCGAGGCCATTGAGGGACGCCGCGGTGAAGTTCATCCACGCCCAGAGGATGCTGAGGCCGCGGCATTTCGAGTAGAACTCGTCCTTGAGCAATTGTGCGAGGAGGCAGGCGGTCCAGACGCCGGAGGCAAGCCACCCGAGCGTCGTGCCCACGTAGCAGTTGGTCGGCGCCGGCAAGAGTGCCGTGTTGGCCACGTCCTTGCAGTCAAACGAGACAGCCCCAAAGACGTACGACCCGAGGAGGAGCAGACTCACCGCAAGTGCAATCACGAGCAGCGTCACTGCCGTCAAATGCCGCTGGACGAACGCGTAGAAGCGTCCGATATCGGGCGGCGACATGGTCGTTGGAGCGAATGAAATGTAAGTGACAGCGACCACCGTCTGTCAGTTGGGTACAAGTAGCCACAAAGAACGCCGTGACAGCGCACTACCTGGTACCAGTGACGTGCGCAAGCGTGCTGTCATTACCCAAGTCGGTACTGTAGGGTGGATAGCGAGGTGGTGTGCCTTGAATCTTTGAGGCAGAAGCGATACATCGATGGCTTACTGCTCTCGATATCAAAGCCCATAGCTCTTACCCAAGACACCATGCCAACAACATTGTCGTATGCGTCACCGTGCGGATCACTTTGCAACGTGATATCACCACATGTTTATAGCTCCTGCGGTCCAACGACAACGCGGACCTCAGAACAGTGCATTCCTCTTAACAGCGGCCACTGCAGGTAGCGTCACGATCACATGTCGTCATCTAGGCCGTCATCAGTCGCCCATAAGAGCTTATGCGACGCACGTACCCATGTCCATGCGAAAGTCGCTTTCGCGGAAGAGCGACGTCCGCCGCGAACCCATAATGTCGCTGCCCATGTAGCTAAAGTCCTCAAAGTGCATCGTGTGGCGGCCCGGCGCGTTGCTGTCGAGCATCGACGTGACAACGGGCGAGTCGGCGACCTCTTGCTGGAGAAAGCCCGGGGGCACATACCTATCCATTCGCATAGCCATATAAGAACCGATTGATGGATAGCAAGTGGATGATCGATCGTACCGGAGCGCGTCTTGGGTCTGCGCAATGTGCGGGCGGAACGGCGGCTCGAGGCGGCGGTCGTACAGCGCCTGCCAGTCGATGCCGCGGAACCACTCGTGCTGCATGATGTCCATGGGGCCGCTGTTGCGGCCGCAGCCGAGGCGCCGCGTCGGGTCCTTGACGAGGAGGCTCTTCAGAAAGTGCGTCGCGATCGGCGAAAAGAGCTCGGGCGAGAACTCGGGGTCGCGCGTCAAAATGTTTTGAAACATCGTGCGGCGGTTCTTGTCGTAGAACGGCGTTTGGCCGCGAATCATCTCGTAGACGAGGACGCCGTAGCTCCACCAGTCGACCGACTTGCCGTACGACGTGGCCGTGCGCTGGGAGCTCAAAAGCTCGGGCGCGAGGTACTCGGGGGTGCCCACAAAGGTCGAGCCCTCGTCGTCCTCCTTCGACAAGCCAAAGTCCGTGATTGCAATGTGGCCGTCCGCGTCCATGAGGATGTTTTCGAGCTTGAGGTCGCGGTACATGATGTGCAAGTTGTGCAGATGCGTGATCGCGAGCACGAGCTCCGCCGCGTAAAAGCGCGCGCGCGCCTCGGGGAAGTGCTTGAGCTTCTTGAGGTGTACAAAGAGCGACCCGCCGTGGTAGTAGTCCATGACAAGGTACAGCTTGTAGTCGGACTGGAACGCATACCTAGTCAAATGTCATCAATATTCGCACATATTCGCAAAAATGCAAGCAAAATTGCACGAAAATCATGCAAAATGCATGCACAATGACATGAATGAGCCAAGACAAGCGTCGTGTACCGCAAATGTACGACAAACGGGTGCTCGACGTGCTTGAGGATGCGCTGCTCCGATTTCGTATGCTCGACCTGCTGCTTCTTGAACACGTCGTCTTTGCGAAGCACCTTCATCGCGTAGACGCGACCTGCGTTGCGCCCGGCCTTCTTCTTGGCGAGAAAGACCTTGCCGTACGCGCCTTTGCCGACGACGCTGAGCAAATCAAAGTCCGTGACGCTCATTGTCTTAGAAATGACCATGCTCCGACCTACCAATATCAATGTATCAACGTGCAATCTTGCACTACGTACTCGTGACGCGCGAGTCGCGGTCGACGATGGTTTCAATGACCATGTCGCCGTCTTCGTGCGTCCCTTGCTCGGCCGGCGGCGGCTGCGGCGTGTGGTTCTGCATCGCTTCCATGTACTGCTGCTCGTCCGCGAGGTCATACCCGCGCGCGCTGTCAAAGAAGGCAAACACCGTCTCCATGCTCGCGCCGATCGTCCACGCCGTGTTGGTGCTCCGCTGCTCGTTCGAGTGGCGCGCGTACTCGGGCTCGCCCGCCGAGAGGCTGAGGCACCCGAGTTGCGTGCAATCGGCCAGCTACCGCACTACACTCAACACAAGTCTAAAAGCACCGGAACGGACCTGGCGGCCCGGGTCTTCCTTTGAGCGCTGCCAGTTGATCGCGCGGGTGCTAATGATGGCGCGGACGTCGTCGGGGTCGTCGCCGCCGACGCGGTGGCTTGACTCGATGAACGCAATAGCGGCGAGCTTGTGGCGCATGGACGGCTGCGTCGTCAAGAGGTGCTTGGCCAGCGCGCCGCCGCGGCCATAGGCAGCAATGTACACTTGGTGGCAGCGCGCTTGGGCGCCAAAGGCCTCCCAGACGTAGCTAGCGACGTGATAAGGAACGCACCCTTAAGAAGAAAGACAAACGTACCGCACGTGCTCCTCCGGGTTGCTCGAGCCCGGAATCGGGATCTTTTCGTTTTGGTTGGTGATGACCATGTTGGTGCTTGGGTTGGTCACAATGACGCCGTACCCGAGCGAGATGGCCTTGTGCAAATACGGGAGCCTACGACGACATGATGAGCAGGCGCATCGTACACCTGTGCAGAAATGGTGGCGTACATGGAGCCCGACCGGTAGTACTGGCGGCTCGTATCGTGCGGCTCCATGACCAACGAGCGGCTCCAGATGCCAGGCTGGATCCCGTTGCCGCTCACAATGATGAGCAGGAGGCGGCCGACGCGCTCCCACTGCGACGAGAGGAAGACGCTGCATTTCGCTTCGTTCGTGCCAATGAACGCTTCCACAAAGCCTGCGCCATGCGCGTCGTCAGTGCAAGTTGGGGTCCAGAATCGCGCGTACCCAAGGCCTTCATCTTGGCCTGCTCTTCATAGACGATCTGCTGCAGAGCCAGCTCCATCTCGCGCTCGCGCAGCTACGCAGACGATGCGGTCATCCAGCCATCGCCAGCGAGCGGTCGTACCATTGCTCGTCGCCGCCACGTTCAAGGTCACAGATCAGAGGCTGTTGGAACAACTTTGCCAGCCCTATCGTATCCGGAGAGCCTGACGGCCCATACAAAAACTCACATGATTGCACTGTCCCCACCGTAACCGGATGCCGCCCGTTTGCAACTCAAAGGATCTTCCCAGCGCGAGCTGGATAGGAGCGCACGATACGAACTCCAATACACATCGAGATGCACTAACGGGTGGCCGCGGTACTGAGCGCAGGCGGGCGGCAGCGTATCTTTGGCGCGCCGGCAACAGCAATCTCGCAAAACATACATCGAAACCGTAGGATATTCAAGCCGAGAGCGCGCTCTCGCTTCCAATATGCGCAAGTGAAAACATTTGCGCCAAGTGGTTTCGCGCCTCGAGGAACGCCGCGTGGGGTTCTCAGCTACTCCTTGTGTTCGCTCCGCCCCTCTGTTGCAACGCCGAGGGCGCGGGTCCTTTTTTGTGGCGACGGTGTATGCAATGGCCGTCACAGGCAGCTACTACAATCAGCCACGATGTCGACCCCGTCGTTAGCCGAGGCCGCTCAACTCTTGTGCAACGTGAACACTTTGCAGTTTGCAAATGTCCAACGAGGATCCATCCATTCATTGACACGGGCGAATGGTGGCGAACATTTTTCGAGCCGCAGCAATCTCGCGCAATCTCAGCACGCACAGGCAAAGGCAGCTGATATGAATCTGATAGGCTCTGGCGCTCAGAGCTGATATGGAGCACTGGTGGACTTGGGCGGCGTTTGGGCGCCGACGCCATACCTGTCGACGACGACGATGAGATCTGATCGCCGTGCAGAGATTGGAAGCGAACGGCCGAGGTACGGAGTCGGGCATACGAGTAGAAGCGTGCGGCGCATCTCCCGTGACGAACCCAGAACCTGCCACCCCACCATCTGAGCCGGCCATCACACCAGAACAAATATTATAATACTATGTTCCAATCGGAAAAATATATTCACGCGCCATCTTGATTGGAGTATGGCGCGCCAATATATTGCCGCGCAATATGGCGATATTAATAGATCCGGTGCTTGGTTATTTTATCTCGCGCACGGGTAGAGTGATTGTACGCAACTTTTTTTACCACATCGAATGCAATCTCCTACAAACACCGAGCTTCATTAAAATCTTTCTAAAATAATAAAAAAGGGCCAGACCCATCGAACCCCACATGGAGCCAGTCGTGCTCGCGTTTGATTGGTCGGCGCCCGAGCGTATTTTTATTCCAAGGAACACTCATATTTTTTTGTTTCTCACGCGAGGCACTTCCTGGTGGCCCTTACCGTAAGGGCGTGTAATAAAAAACGTATTTTAAAACGAAAAACGGCGTGCTGAGTTTTTAAACCGCAACATTCGACGTGTCAAGTTACTTACGCAACTGGCGCATTGACACACTTGCGCCGCCGAGATGAAGAGCGACTTCTTGGGCGCAACGATCGCGATCGCCGCCGCCATCGGCTCGAACCTCGGCGTCAACGTCCAGAAGCGGTCGCACATGCAGGAGGACGAGCGTCCCAAGCACCTCCAGCGGCCGTACACGAAGCGCCCGATGTGGTGGCTGGGCATGTTTATGGTGGTCTTTGGCTCGCTCGGCGACCTCTTTGCGCTCGGGTTTGCGCCGCAGACGCTCGTGGCCTCGCTCGGCGGCGGTTCGACGATCGTCGCCAACGTCCTTATTGCTCGCTTCTGGCTCAAGCAGCAGCTCTACTTTACCGACATGATTGGCGTCGCGCTCGTCTCGACCGGCGTCGTGGTCCTCGCCTTGTCCTCGTCCGAAGAGGGCAAGTACACGGTCAACGAGCTCTTTATGCTCATGCAGGCCCCGGGCTTCATCGTCTATGCGATCTGCACGACGGTCTTTGTCGCGTCGCTCATGCTCCGCGTGCGCCGGTCAACGTCGCCCGCCCTTCGCGTCGTCGACATTACCGACGAGGTGCGCAAGAAGGAGCTCGCCGACCTCGAGAGCAACGTGCGATCGGCGGAAGAAGCCTCGTCCACGAAGAACGACACGGCGAGCGAGG